GACAATATTTTTCTTGAAAGTAGAAGAGTTGACGAATCAAATGAATCCCCGCATGTCGAAAAATTTGAAAAATTTTCTGAGATACGAATTTTCCAACGTTTGTTTGTATGCCCTTATTGAATATCCATGTTTTATAAAGAGGGTCCGGGACCTAGCAGTACAAAGGAGCAGAAAGCGATCGAGCCCGATGTCAGCCCTCGACAGAGTAGGGGGGTCATCATCTTAAGAGGACCAGGTGGCCACATACAAGTTGTGGAGGAGGGAGAAGGCTCGATTAGTATGACGATCGATCAACCCGAAGAACCGAAGGGTTCGGGCCCCTCCACACAAAAAGTTTCCTTGTCTAAGGAGCAAGCCCATCGGCGTAGCAGCAGCGAAAGGAAAAAAGCCGAGAAGCACGATAAATGAAGGAGAGAATGCGACTCGTGGATACGACCCAGAGGATGAGACCAGATGGTGGTTGTGGGTAGACATAGATGACTTTAAGATCGGAGCACTCTGTGATACCGGCGCCTCATGTATGGTAATGGGTTAGTTAGGGCTGATTGGCATCGGAAATGGAACTCGGACTGAATATGACCAGGGCGGGCGATTCAACGCTCGCTGACGGGCGTCCATGCCCCATCATTGGTCTCGTGATGTTTCCCTTTAAGGTAGGGGGAATCACAAGGAAAATTGGAGTCGCTATTACGTCACTGTTCACGGATGACTGCTACGTAGGCACGAACTTTATAAGAGAGTTCCACGAAGTTTTAGATCCCGATAAGGATAAATTATGACTGAAGAACGCCCAGATCAAAGTACCTATGGAAGTGGCGGGAATTGATGTTACGGCATTTCTCACACCGGTAGAACTGTGGGAGGTCACGGAAACACAGCTTGAGGAAATTGAGGACCTCGTCAGAAGATCGATTTCTAACGGAGAAGAGGTTTTAGGCTGTACCGTGGGGATTGATAACAAAATAGATGTTGGAAATGGTCTGGTCAAGGATATTCTGGAAAAAGATGTAATCGAACAAGGCGCCCAGCGGGTGGTCAAGTCCAGTGGTGACGGTAAAGAAAGCTGATGGAAAATATAGGTTCTGCGCAAATGATCAAAATGTAAACGCAATAATCAAACCAGATGCCTATCCTTTGCTATATATGAGCAACATCCTAAGACGGATAAGGGATGCCAAGTTCATATTCACGCTGCACTTAAGTAGTGCGTACCATCAGATTCCGCTAAAGGAAGAATCGCGCCCGATATCGGCATTTACAGTACCAGGATTGGGTATTTTCAATTCAAGAGAATACCCTTTGGACTGTCATACGCGGGGGCGACCTTTCAGAGGTTGATAGATAAAGTGATAGGTCCGGATATGGATCCATTCGCTTTAGCTTACCTCGACGACGTAATTGTGGTTTCGTCGTCATTTGAGGAGCATAAGCGGTACCTGAAAAAGGTATTAAAAATATTTCTGAGTGCGGGCCTAACCATCAACAAAGCCAAAAGCCACTTCTGGAAGACGGAAGTAAGGTACTTGGGAATTCCCGTGAACCAAGACGGAGTAAGACCAGATCCCGAGAAGATAGGACCGATACTGGATTATCCAACACCACAGACAGTCCAATAGGTAAAGCGATTCATGGGTATGACGTCGGTGTATAGACGTTTTATACAGGACTTCGCCATGATTGCTGAAGCTATAACCCGCCTGAAGAAGAAGAATGTACGTTTTTCCTGAGAGGAGAAGCAAGAGCGAGCTTTCACGAGGTGGCAGGAGACTATGACTTCTGCCCCAATACTGCAACCACCCGATCCTTGAGGTCAGTTTGTACTACAAACTGATGCCAGTGACAGTGGGATCGGGGCGGTCCTCACGCAGGATGTCGATGGAGAGGAGCGTGTAATCGAATAGGCCAGCCTTTTACTCAACAGCGCTGAGAAGAACTATACAGTCTCCGAGAGAGAGTGCTTGGCAGTGGTATGAGCCATTGGAAAGTTCCGGCCATACATTGAAGGGTATCACTTCAAGGTCATCATTGATCATAGTTGCCTGAAATGGCTCCACAGTATGAGAAATCCCACGGGAAGATTTCGCGTTGGCCAGCATTGCAAGGCAATGTCTTCGATATTGAATATCGAAGGGGAGATCTCAATGTGGTGCCGGACGCATTGTCTAGGGCCTATGAGGAGGAGGGGACTAAAAGTGAGTGCCATAAATAGTCGGCCGTAGACCACTGATGCCAGGTATTTGCAGCAATACCAGGAGGTATGCCAAGACCCACATTCACACCCTACATGGAAGGTAGTTGGAGGGAGGCTGTATCACTATCAGCCTGATGAGCACGGTGAAGGATCCATCGACAACGAGAAAGCGTGGAAGCTTGCAGTGCCTAGAGAGAAAAGGCACCAAGTGCTCCAGGAGGTCTATGAGGCTCCGACAGCAGGGCATCAAAGACGAGAGCGTACGTTCTCCAGGGCCAAGCGCTTGTACTACTGGCCTAAGATGTATGATCAGGTTAGGTATTACGTGATGAGTTGTCCGGTATGTCAGCAATACAAAGTGGAACAAAGGGCACTTTGCGGGCTGATGGTTATTGAGTGAAAGCGAGGAAGCGACCAACAGCGAGCCTTGCGAGCCGCATGATTCAGAACCGTTGGAGACCAGCGATTCCGCGAGAGCATGCGAAGAACCGGGCGGGGATTTATTGAGCGAGCGAATCGAAATAGCAGCTTCCACGGCCGTAGGTAACAATCCCACCGAGACGTCGGATTTACCGGTATCCGCACCAACCAAAAGAGGTCGAGGTTGACCTTGGAAGGTCTCAGAGACGGTCAGCGGTCAGACAGAAGGCGACAACTCTCCCCTAAAAGGAATTTAGAGGGAGAGGTATGCCTCGAAAGATCGTACCTGTCGTACAAAGGACGGTTGGGCCGATTATCCTGAACAAGAGACGGAAAGGGAGCGGTAACCGGCGAGGACCAGGGCGTTCACGCATGTAAAAGCGAGGGAACGCGTAACCCGAAGAAGGCTTCTCGGGACGTTTCGATCCAAACGGAGGACCAGGAAGAGATCAAGCGTCCCAAGTCCACCGTGGACCAGGGGATGCCGACCCTTAAGTCCGGCGTACCCCAGACTTCGGACAGTGCGAGCCACTACCCTGGACCCAGAGAGATCTGTGGGGTTCAGCACGGGGTCTGCAACCACCTCCTTATCCCAGAGCAGCAGACTCTCCTCCTCGACTTCAGACATGTACGTCTGGGGCTCAACGAGATGAAGAGTGCCTGGCGGTTCGCTGAAGATCTCTAGTCTCAAGTGCATGAGGACCTAAGACGTTTTGTGCACCGCCAGGGTGCAGAAGAGCTATTAATTATATTATATTGGAAAATATTGGAAAATATTAAAAAATATTACATCAAATATATTATGTTTTATAAGAAAATATTGAAAAGTATTAAATAATAGTCGATTACATGTTATTCAGGTTTGAATATAGAACATTTATTAGAATATATACATAATTATTCAATTAAATGTGATTAAACATTATATTTCATTAGAAAATATTGAGAAATATTAAAAATTATTGTACAAAATGTTATTAAAATAGTTTTCGTTGACAGCGCCATTGAAAATGATTAGAAAGGATTACAAATAATCCTAAATCTTCGTTTTAATTATAATTAGGATTCTATTGTACTAGAAAAGATTCAACTTTAATCCTAGCCTGAATTGAAAATCGTTCATTCATTAGAAACGATTGAGACTTATTAAAGTTTAATCCATTTCAATAATTTCCAATGAATTATTTTTAGCAGGGAAACCTTACGATACATATTTATCAACCTTAATTACAATATTTATCATTTAATGAAAAATGCGATAATTCAATATTATTTAATTTAAATGATGTATGTAAATAAATTATATTTTGAAAAAATTGTAATTATTATTCATATTTTTAATTTAATAATGTTCAATTGAAAAATTCAAATCAACATAACTTATAATAAAAATTTCCAGTAAAATATTTGTATCTATAGAAGTTTTTCTTTTCAGCTTTATATTAGTAGTCCTAAATTTAGAATAAGCTATTGAAGAGTTACTGTTTAAGGAGTGAGCGAGAGGGAGAGAAAGAGAGAGTCTAAATTTTAAGGTGTTAGGCATATCATACGACTTCTGAAAAAAAGGCGCATGGGTTAATTCTTCAAGGAGTCTCTTACGTAAAAAAGTTATTATTAAATTAAGATTCTACGATAATTATTGAACTTAATATCATTTAAAACAAGTTTTTGCAATAATTTTTTTTACATTTTAAAAAGAAACCATATGTAATGTTTATCCAAGGGTTTAAAAGCGTTCATAACACACGTATTTCTAGAAATTTTTCTTAAAAACTAACGTGAAACTAACGCTTTCGTAACTTTTTTTAAAAGTATAATGTTTCCTAGATATTTCGAAAACGTGACTGGAAAATTTTCATTTCTAATTATTCTGAAAAATTAACGCTTTTTTAACTTTTTGTCAACACCTTCAAAAAGAAGACGGATATATTACGTTTATTCAGCGTTCGTATCACGTATGTTAACTTTTTTTAAGAATTTTTTCTGATTAGAAAACGTTTAATTAACGATTTTTTGACGTTTAAAAAATTATAAAATGTAACATTACCTTTACGATTAAAAGACGTGTTTAATAAACTATGGAAATGTTATTTAAACGTTTTCTGCACGTTTGAAAAAATATTATTGAATATAGCTTTCGGAATTTGCGGATAAAATCTACGTTTACGAAACATTCATGGAACGTTTTTCTAACCTTATGGGAAAACATTACTTCTTTTTTTTTAATTTATTTTTTTTAATTATTTTATACTATTAGGTAAGTAGACAAGAAATGTTAGAATTTATATTTAACATCTATTAATATTTTTCTAGATAAAAATGGAATAATATCATACTATAAATGTAATTATTCTAGTATATACAAAATATACTTTATTCAATTCAAGAATAACAAATAAATTACATTAAATTACCGAGCCACCACTACTTAAGCCAGCTCTTGAATCAGTAGGTACTTGTTTATTAAAGCAATCGTCTAAAAAGTGTGCCATAGATAAGTAAAGATGCTCCTTAACTCCAGCTAAACTATGACTTACATCTGGATAAACCTATTATACATATTATTATACATATTATTAGTCATATTATACATATTATTCTACATATTATTATATATCTATTATAAATATTATTATATATGTACCGAAGCTCATTATTTAATTTATTTGCTTTGGAAAACATAATTTAACAAAATACCTGTTGTCGAAATAGAATCCCTTTCTTGGCAAGATGTCTTGCTAGAATCATAGATTGCTGAAAGTGTACATTATCGTCAGCAGTGCCATGAACTAAGTAGAACATTTTCTCACGCAAATAATCGACTTTATTTACAAGGTCAGCTTCCGCATATCCCTGATAGTTGTCGGTAACATTTGACGAACCCATATATCTTTCTGCATAAGCAGAGTCTGTAAATTTATTTTGATATTTTGGTTTGCGGATACAAATTGATTATAATATCTTAAAATAAATAAAATTCTGAAATTTTTTCAATTTATGATCATTACAACAATTTCCTTGAGAATGAAACTGTCATTGTAAAAGATATTCTTACATTGATTTTATATTATCGTATAGAGCTAGAACATTTATACATTCTCTATTATGACACTTTACCTACTTATAAAGCAGATCTACTTTTTAGTGTATAGTTAGAGACATAAATTTCACATAATGCACAAGCTTATGTAAGCTAGATAAAGCCAGCTAATTTGCGTGGATTCAACGTCAATAAATTATTCAATTATTTAGTTCTAGGCTCATCGCTGGAAGATGTTGCTTAAAATAAGCTATTTGCAGTGGGGAGGAAAAAGAGCCTATTACAAAGCGACTATGGTTGAAAAATAACGAAGAAGAAAGAGGAAGGCATGCTGCTCACAAATGCGAGAGCTCACTCCAGTCCATCACAGTTGTTTAATACTCGCTTGAAACAGCAGTTATATTCTTTTCCTCTAGTCAATCTCGAATAATTGTTTAGTAAAAGTAAGTTTTATATGTAATTTTTTCATCATTTCCCAATAGAAAAGTAGATCGAATTAATCTATTTATGTTTTATTGTTGTAGAATGAATGTTTCTTCAATCACTAACATTGCTACATCGGCCTTCCAACTTAAAAAAACCATCTCGCAATTACATAAAGATTTCAACTATGTGATTTCTAAATTGAGATGGCTAACAACTAAAAACGAATTCAGCATTTTTATTACTATTGATACAGAATTTTATATTTTCTTACCAAAAAGAGTGAGCTTGGCTTTTAAAAAGGATAACAACATGTTGAAGAAACTCCTCGAAGCTTGTAAGAAGAAAGAACTATTCCTACATCACGAAGGATCAAATTTTGAATTCAAGAACTCTGGTCATTAAGGAAAGAAAAAAAATTTTTTCCTTTTGGAGAAGAGTTAAAAGTAGTCAGTGATATAATGTTTCTATATAATTTAGATTCCATATAAAGGTTTCATGACTGATGAAGGTATCAAAATCGTCTAGTGACAGGCATGAGACAAAAGAAATTGAGGATCATTCTTGAACTCGATTATGAATTTCAATTCATTCTCTCAGAATGAATTTCAGGAGCAATTTACTATCATCTGTATATCAAAATGTCTGAAAATGTTTAAAGATATACTTTATATTTAAAGTATCATGGATGTGATAGATTAAAATCTAAATTCTCCTTTCGTTGTAATTAGAATATCTTTAATTTTATTCCAATAAAGTTAATCCTTTGGGGAACAGGTTAATGAGTTATGGATAGTTATACATATTTCAACTTGTTTTAATGGACTCACAAGTGACGTTAAATGGAAATATCTCGCATATGAGACCGAAGGTCGGAGCTCTCTCCATTAAAAAAAAAATTTTGTTATATGAAAATTAATATTTGTAGAATGATGTAATAATTTTTTTACTACAATAAAGCGTTTTTTATATGGTAAAATATAATTGCGTGTTTCAATCAATCATACTTGCTTTATTAATCCATGAATTGTGTGAGTAGTCAAATCCTAACCATTTCACATAGACTTTATTGTCTCGTTTCTTCAAAACTTATTCCACGAGATAGACCGTGGAATACACGGCTTTCTGTAGTTCTCGTTCGTAGAAACCTCCAACAATCAAATTTTCTTAGTAATCTAGTAAATGGTATGTTATAGGTTTTGTTTTCGAAATACGCTTGATAGTAAAAATTTCTGAAGACAAATTGAGGGTATATCTATTTTCACAAACATGTTTAGACTTGCTAACTCATAGTTTATAGCATACTCAGAATTTCGGTTTCTTGAAAAGATATGGGCCATAAGAGAATCGTTTCAGCACTTGTATTTAATTTTTTTAGTCACATCTTCAGGCTTCATATCTATTGTACGATGTTTTCGATTATTGTAAGATTTCAATAAATAAGCAAGTATGTCGAGACATTAGTTATTTCCTTGTAGACTGAATTTTTTCCATATTTTGTAGCGTATGGTTACAATAGCTTTAATGTTTTATATTTTCTTGATTGATAAATATTTTATTGATGATTTAGATATATATTTTTTAAATTTCCTTACATTTTAGCAATAGATAATCTATATCTATCTAATCTAGATAATAATACATGGTTAGCTGTTGCAAACTCCTTCTGAAATTTCTTTTGTACTTGACCAATGTTTACAATAATATTTCTAACTTTAATAGTTAGTTTTTCAAGGCAAATTTTATAGTACGACAATACAAATTAATTTCAAGCATAAATGGCTTAGCAAAAGATTTAATAGCAAAGAGTATAAAAGCCTACAAATTTATTATTACAAACAGCTTAAACAAGTAAATTACTTGAGATCAAAGCTAACACAATATGAAAAAAATTTCTCAATCATTAAGCAGTTTCCTACCTCATCACGAAAGAGCTTAGCATTAATATATTATAATAATTCAGATAATATCATAAAAGCAATAGTAAATTTAAATAACTTATTTAACGGCAAATCAAAAATATACGAAAATCCGTATCACAATATTCAGGAAGATGCTCAAATCAATCAATTTAAAATGCAATAAAAACAAAATTATTTCAACTATCGGGGCAGAAATAATTTTCGAAAACCCTGGAGTTGCAGTCACGGACGCAGTTCATCTATTCAAAATTACACAAATCAAAACAACCAAATAAGTAATAGATTGAGTGACGCACAACGGCTACCTTCGTTAATCCCAGATACGCGATTCCCTTACCCAGCATCAGTAGTAATAACGCAAATATAAGCAAAGACAGGAACGAACAGCAAAATCATTTAAACCACAATTCGGCGCGTTGAGCTGCGGTTTGTCAGCGCGTCAATATTATGACGATATCATCGATGAATTCAACAAAGACATAAATAATTAGGACCCCCGAAATAAGTAGAATCTGTTAAAGAAAGTCCCATAATCACCTCACATATTATCTAATATATATATATATATATATATATATATATATATATAATTGTATGGTCGTTAATAGAAACCGGTAGTCAAACAGTGCGATATCTGAAAAATTTTACAATGAATTAAAAAAGTCACATAATTTATTAGAACTTCCCATAACCAATATGGTAGTTTCTGTGGCAATAGACAAAAAACAAACATTCATTAAAAAGCAAACTTTTCTTAAAATGGACATTGACGGAGACATTCTTCAATTCGTTTTCCTTATATTGCCCTTTTTGGCAAGCAACCTGATCTTGGATAACGATTTTAACTTAAAAACCGGTATTATTATAAATTACTGGAAAAGAATTATACAGATAAGAAATAAAATAATAAAATCCTCATCAATATTGTTTGAACCGGGTGGCTTGGAGAGATTGATTCTAAAAAGCCAAAATAATGAGACGTGTGTTTATATAGTAAAAACAAATGAGATAATAAACAAAAATAATAAAAATGTGATCAAAAAAGAATCATAAAACCCTCAATTCGACATCTTAATTAATCTAAATGAAATAAAATATAATGTAATGGTCCTATCTATAAGCTAGTTTATTATGTCATTGAATCACCACAACCCGTCAAACGCATCTATCTGTTTACACAAATTAGCACATTAAACGGCGCCACCTCACCGATCATTCGATTGTCTTAGTACAAGAGTCTAATTTCATAACCAAATAAGGAGCGTGACGTCACAAAGTAATAGATATAGATATAATGATTTTTGTTATTTGAGAAAAATATGTTAATTAGATGTATTTTTGATATAACAAAGTATTTTTTATACAGATTTTAGTACGTAGATTTAGAATATAGTAATACGAATTGCGTTTAATTATTAAATAATAATGAATTTTAATATGCAAAGTTAATTTATTTATTACACTATAAATATGAATTATTAGAAAAATGTAAATAGTCCATATTCAAAATGAATAATTAAAGAACATGAGTAAGAATTGGTTTCATTAATAACAGCTTAATAATAACTGTTATTAATAAATAAATAATTAATAATTAATTTAAACAATAAGTTGTATATAGAACGAAAGCATTAATTTTATACTTATATTATAATGGTATCTTTGTAATTTATAAATCTTAGATAATTAATCTAGAAATTGCGTTATAAAATTATAGAAAAAACCGTTACAAATATAAAAATTTGTTATAATTCAAATGCTATTAACTAATTTGAATATTTCTTTTTAGAAATTACTTCTAAAATTAATAAACGATAAAGTTATATAAAATTTTAATAATTTTCTATTGTAAATATTGTAAATTGAAGATTCGAAAACTTCTCGAAGAGAACTCTCTTGCGAAAATAGGCGGGAAAATCTGTGTATAAATACGCCTACTATTGCACAGGCTGGTATTCACTTCATGATTTAAGTAATTGTTTAAGCCGGTTAACGAGGTGACATGGCGCTAACGTGCCGGTCATCTCGTTTAGAATAAGCTCGCGTGTTAATAGTAATAAGTGATTTGTATTCTCGTCGGCACTCGGGGTAGTGCGTTTATAATAAACGTGTGTTAGCGAATTGTGTGTGAAGTTAATTGCCCGCTGTTCTCCTTCCTGCTTTGCTTGGAGCGATACACCGCCTCCTTTGCCGTCCCCCTTTTATAAATAATTGGTAATAGTAGTGAAAATATCGGCATTCCACGCCGACGCTATTACACATATAAAAAAGATATCAGAATTTATTAAAATTTTATCTTCTTTGGATAATGATGATTATATTAGTTCACGTCATGCTCAAAAAGATAGCGGCGGAGAACAACAAATTAATAGCATAACAATTGAAAATAGTAAGTCGAATAATAAGAATAATAAAGCAAATAAAAATAAGAATATTGCAAAACCGATTTTACAAGATGTACCTAGTACTTCCTCGGGAAACGAGTAAATGTTGCTTCTCGGAAATCGGATAAATGCAAAAGCTT